CAGAAAAAGGAAAACTCTCACATACAGACACTTCACAGCACTTTTCTAAGAAAAATATACACTTACAAAATATGTTACAAATTGGCACACTTAAAAATATACAAGATTTTGTAGGCGTCTTAAGAGTGATCCTTAAGCTTTATACTTCAATTGACTCTACAGATTATTTATAAAGCTTAATTCTAAAAGAAAAAAGGCAAATAATTTCCTAACATTTTAAAGTTGCAGTGTCATATGTCAAACAGAAACTTAGGTTACATTCATAAAAAGGGCCTCTAATGCTTTTATTTCAAATTTTCTTAAATGCATAAGGGGCTTGAGGGAGAAGAACAAAATGGGGATAATAGTTTTCTTTAGCACCATAAATCAGTAACTTACTAAAAGAGGTGCGTTCAGTTCTATGGAAACTAAGGACTAGTACATTCAAAACTCTGTAGGCAGCAAACTCCAGTCAGTGCTACAGGTATCCCAGTAGAGCATCTTAAGATTTCTACCCTCTTCACTGGGAGTAAAAACACAAAAGGCCTCTTCTAGCTTTCATTCTAAGCCTTTTCTTTTGTGCTGTACAACCACGCATGTCTCAAAGAGGCAGACTGACTTAACTATCTCCTTTCTTCTTCTTGAATGGGATGTCCTTCTGAGGCTCAGAAAGCCTGGAGCCCGCTGGATGGACTGACATCCTTTCCATTTCATGTGGATGAGTGTTTCTTCAGTGTCTTTAGGAATTATTTACCCACATACTGATTTAAAAAGCCTCATTCATACTTTAGATTCTGTTACTAAGCATCTCTCTTTTACATTGTTCTTCACCATTTTACCTCTTAGTTGTGATTCTGAAACTAAGAGTACATCTCAAGTATCATGTAGCTGCAATGGGAGCTCTGTTTCATGACTGTAGCTACTTTTTGATGCTGAGTAAAAAATGTGCCTTAAAGGGTAGCCTGAGTACTATCATCAAAATAACCCCATGCTGGTTGAGCACCCTCACATTGATGACAGTGTTTCTCAAGTTAAACAGCCCAACTAATTTTTTTCTTCCTTACCTGGGTCTTTGAGAAACCATTACAAAATCCTTGGCCTACATTGTGTTAACAAGATCCGTATGTGTTACTAAAATGTTTGATTTTGGTACTAAACCAGAATTCTAAATGTAACTATAGGCTTAGTGAATTTTATGCTTAGAAAACAAATCAACCTCACATTGGTTTTATTATATAAAAGGACATTTCTGTAGTAATGGGAAGTCATTTAAAAATTCCTAAGTGAAAACAAAATTAGATAAATTCTCAACAATACAGGAGAAAACAAACATTTCTAGTTCTAGCAATAGTTAGGACTAGCTAATGCTCCATTCGCCTCTGCAGTGCAGAAATTTAGCTCTCTCAATTCTTGGAACTGTTCTGAGAGTATCTGTAAACTGAAGGTGTGGTGGATCTGCAGCAGACTGGTTCAACTTGGTAAGAGCAAGCTTGGCTAAGAGGTCCTTGGATATGGTTTTTCTCCTTTAGGCAGTCAACACTAATTCAAACCCACTAAAACAGAAATTCACTAGAACTGCAGGACCTCACAGAACAGAACAGAAGATAAGATGCTAGCTAGAGTTGTTTACAGCTTTTGAAGCATCCTTTATGCTTTTCTCTCTCTCTCACACACACACACTCCTACCCCCTCCCGCACTCCCCACTTACACACAGATGCTTCCCAGCAAGGAAAAAGGTCAGAGAAGGTGAAAGTTGTCACAAAAGCCCACCTAGCACCAAGGACTTCAGGGAGATGGCTGGAGAAGTCAAGGTAGTGCAGGAGGTTTGAAAACATTTAGGAAAAAGTAAGGCCTTAACACATAATTGCACAGAATAGCAAGAAGAAGTCAGAAGGGAAAGCTGGGAGGAAGCAGCATAGATGAGGCAGCTGGTTTTTGAGACACTGGAGAGGCAGAGAGGAAGGCCACTGGTTTAATCCAGTTATCACAGCCCAAACATGACCCCCAACATCTCAAAGACTCTTGGTCAGGGCCACTGTTTCAGCACCCTGCTCCACACAGTACAGCACCTAACCAGGGCAGGAGATCAGACCTATTCTTACAGCTCTTCAAGGAAAAGCATCTTCTAACTTTTCTTCAGTCATGTGATAGTTTGTGTGTGTGCTTAAAATTAGATCTGAAAGTGGTCAAGGCAATTAAAAGTAATTAAGAAGGAGAAAGTTCCCCTCTGAACTTCCAGAAGAAAGCAGCTGGGTTAAGGTCTTAAACTGTGACAATTTGGGGAGGTGTACTACAAGATCATAAAAGAAGAAAAATTCTAAGACCAAAGGGAGGATATCATTTCCAGGAAACTAAAGATCAAACAGGACTCTGTGGAGGAGGCATTTGAAAGGGAAGCAGCTTCTCAGAGAAGAGAAGTTAGAATAGAGTGGTAATCGGGAATTTCTGACCAAGGAAAATTCAATGTTTCTGACTTGAGATATCAGTCGTAGGGCAAAATACTATTTTTAGACATTGGTCCTTACTCTACTAAGGCAGCTGGTTGAGTAAGGGATCTCCAATATGTCTGGACTATTATGTTGTGACAGGAAGAAAAGAAATTGTGACAGCAGAGATAGGATCAACAGAATGTTAAATGCTGAACAACTCAGAACATCATGTACTGATAGGGATATTAAATGCAATTAAGAGAAAAAGCATCTTCTGCCTAGATCTATTCCTCAAACCCAGTTTCTTATTATTTCAGTACAAAATGTTTATGAGTCACTAATTTATGTATTAAAACATAATGCACTGCAGGCCAGTAAAAATGTGCTCTAACTAGTTCTCTGGAGAAAGGGATGAGCTGTACCCTAGAACTGACCCTACATGGGCTCCACAGGAGCAACTGAAAGTGTATCAACTCCATAGGACTCATGATAGCAAGCTCTGAAAAGGAAATGATTTCCAACAGTTTCAGGTTGTCCTTCCATCTTACTCCTACAAAATTCTCCAAAGCTGAACTGATACTGGAAAAAAAAAAAACCTGGAGCAACTGCTCCCATATTTACTTTTTATAAAAACACCTTGTACTTGTGGAACATTTTCTTTATTTCTTCTTTAATTGTCACCTTTTGATTACACAGAAAGTGTTCCATTCCTGTAACCCAGCAGGTGACTTTGAGGTCCAGAGTCTTGGGGATCACAATACAGCTCAATTGGTGATTCCAAGCCAAAATTTAGCTGCAAAGCAGAATAAACAAAAACAGAAGTAAAACAAAGGCTAGTTTCTAGGAACCAGCCATAGCATTTAGTACAAACAGCTGGATATCAGAGCAGAGAAATAGAAGAAAGTGTTCCAGTTTGATTGTTTTGCCTTTTGGATGGCAGCTGTAGGGCAAGAGACATATTTCATTTGGTGCCTTTCCACTAAGTGATTTTCCAGGGCTCACTGCACACAGAGCGTTAAAGCCCAGGAATGGGCCTGAACCAGACTCACAAACTGCTCCTCACTCACTTATCCCCATAGACACAAGAGACTGATGCTGGGAACACACACAATCAAGAGAACAGGCTTGTTCATTTTACTACCTAGCTGTAAGTAGTAGAGCAGGCTGGTGCACAGAATCATAGACTGGGAAGTGTGTATACTTACATACACAAGAGGCTTTCCTTCCCTTTCTCTGACTACTTTCAAATGTTGCTTCTCTGTTTGTGAAAATGACTAGGTAGGTTCATATTTTACTTCAATTTTTCCTTTTGAGACATCTTCCCTTTTTTGTTAAGTCCCCCTTTTCCCCACCCACTTATTCTCCACCCTCCCACCCCAGCCTATATATTCACAAAGTTATTAGGTTAGTAACAATATTAGTAAGAATAGTAACAACAACAACAACCAACAACATTAATAATATTAATCCCCTATATCTGTATAGCACTTTACGATTTACAAAGCGCTTTCACATCCATTATCTCATCTGTGCCATAATGCACCAGTCATCAGACACACAGGCCTTCAACTGTGCAAGTAAAAGAGATCAAATGTTAGAAGTCAAGTGGTGAAGAAAGGGGAAGAAAAGGCTCGGAGTGAGGGATGTTGGAGCTGTGAAATTTTTTTTAAAAAGGTGGGGAGGGCTGAATTAACAATGTTATTTAAAAATTTTTATCAAAAATTGAGATTTAAGTTTAGTGTGTGGCATCACAGATACTAGTTATCCTCAGACAAGTATATATAGCCCAAATCAGTTGATACCACACATTTTTCAGTTTATCTGATGTTATACATACTTAACTCACAGGAAGAAGAATTTGGTCGAACTGAGATGCCTTAACATTTTCTTTAAATGACATTGGCATTGCAAGATTAAACACTTAAAGAACACTAAAGCTGTGATATGAGTGCACTTTTGACAAAACTGGAATAAAACATTCAGGAAACTACTTAAATAAAAGCAATCTATGTACTTCATTTATCATTAGTGTTGATTTTATAGCTATTTTATAATTTATCCCAGGCTATTATAAAATATATAAAACTGAGATATAAAGTATCAGCAATATAACTTTGCACTTTAAATAATTTTTAGCTACAGATTTTGCTTTTAGAAAACAAACTTTCAAAGCAGCTGTTTTGTTTCCTTGTAAAAGATTCTGTAAATGCATATACTCGTGTCCTTGATGGACTGAGCTGTTGTGACTTTCAGACTTTTCCAACATTTTAACCCTTAGACAATGGAACAAACAAATCTTTATTGTGCCTTGTAAAACTGTTCATGTTTTCACACAAGACAGTAGAGTTAGAGTTTAAAACTTTAAGAGAATGTATGCATGTGTGTGTGTATGTTTGTATACATATATACACATATACATATATGTGTGTGGGGGTGTATATACACACACACATGCACACATTTAAAATTCACTAATGAGCTTTAAACTGTGGGGGTGAATCTGTGAGATGAGGTAAGGAAATTTGGCACATTTCAAACAGTATCCTTTAAGTTTTGGTAAATTGCGTAACACAACATATTTTTCCACTGTGATCTACAGGTGCTATCCACATAAGTGGGGGTGGTTAATAGCAAGAATCACTGGAATGTTTCTAGTAAATTAACAGGGACAAGTGCCCCAAATACTCACAACCAAATGTTGATACAGAAGTAAAAATATATACAGTACAGTCACTTGTTTGTAGTTTGGCACAATCTTTTCCATTTTTTCCTTGTGGGTAAATAGTGCATAAACTACTTGTGCAACTGTATGACTTTTTAAGTCTTTTACATAGAACATCAGATTAAAGTTTGCTTCCAAAGACTTATTCCCACAATTCAAAATTCTTTTCTTTAAGCACTTACATGTCAACATACATACCACAAGGCATATTTTGAAAGAAATAAAATACAAACATCAAGTGTCTTTCTGGAAAACGTGAGTCTCTTCAAACACAGGTAAAACCCAAAATGCTGTTTCTGCTTTTAAGAGATTATAGTTGGAATCCCTGCAGAAAAATCAAACAATTTATGCCATCTTAGTTTTAGTGTATGTCCCACAAAGGGTCATACAATATAAATTTGTTAGCATCATACTAGCTGCTGTATGATGCAGAAAAAAGATACAAATAGAGGGGGCACTAGAAAGTACTTCTAATTGCCACATGTTGAGATTTGGTCTTCCGACTAATGCTCTTTTCATTTAAATGATCTTGGCTTTTTGTCTACATTACTTTTTAATTCTGTTGTTCCAAATATGTTATACTGCAAAGCCTTTCCCTTCCCAAAATCATTCAGGATGAGCATATTTTAGTTCTGTGTTCTTAGTAAGTAAAAACTAATGCTGAATAGCAGAAGAAAAAGTAGCTTTGTTAGAGCTTATCCCTGAACAAGCCACAGCAAAACTGCCCAATCCTTTGGGTGGCTCAAAGATATAGGGATTTCCATGCACTTTTTTTCTTTTCTTTTTAATTTGAAAAAGAAAGGAATGGGACAGTTTCTTTCATGCAAATGTTTGCTTTCAAGAGGAAAAAAATGAGGGACTGCGGGCTTAGCAGGTAGTAGGAAAGCTAAGGGCGCATCATCTCAGCCATTTTGGTGCAGTATTACCTCAGTTTTTCAAAAGAAGCTGTCCCAGCCTCATCCTTGTGGACCTGTTCTCGCTCCATGCGCTTTCCCTTACACTTCTCATCTCTCAGGGCCTTGGAGCTGGATTTGTGACGATATAATTTTTTGTGTGTTGGTCCGTTATTGCCTAAAGTGCTCATGTTACTATACTTTTTATCAAAGAAGGCAGAGTGAGAGTCCTCGTTATAACCAGGCATGTCTGTATGACCAGGATCACCTATTGCTGCTTTCCCATTGCTTTTGTTCACACCCTTGATTGACCTGTGATTCTTAGTGGCTCCTGGGGACCCACTGTTGATTTTTTTCTTAGTCTCCTGTGGTGTCCCAGCCAATATTTTCAGGGTTTTTAACTTTAGACTATTGGACTCAGGAGAGTAGAATGTGTTGGGGTCCCCATGGTGTTCCATGGGTTCCCAAAGGGGCTCTATAGAGGCCATCATGAATCTCTGCACATCTGCCATACCAGAGGCAATGTTAGACAAGATATAGGAAGGTTCCTGAAATTCCCTTTGGTCATCATCCAGGAGGGTGTTGCTGTTGGTGCCCATGTTCATGTCATTCCAGCCTGGGCCACTCTCCTTCCCTAAAGCCCAGTCTCCAGAAAGTCCCTTGTGACTTGGCATCTTCAGAGAGGCCATAGGGCCACTGTGTTGGATACATTCGGTCAATGTCTTCCCAGTAGAGGACATGCTGTTGGTTTGGCCTCCCCCACGACCAATGCCAATTTGCATTTTCTCTCCATTGATGGCAGCCATGTATTTTCCTTTCTTTGTGGACTTGGGGATCTGGCGGGAGGTTTTCCCAGGTGACTTTTCAGTCCCTTTGTTGTTGGCTTTGGGAGATTTTTTCCTGGTGTTTTTCTGAGAAGAGCTTTGGTTCAGAGCCCCACTCTTGCCAGGTGAACTTTTCTTTCTTGATTTTGAGACTTTGTTGTTGGTGCTAATTTGACCAGATGGGTCATTAAATGTTGACAGGCAAGGGTTTTTTGGGAGCAGGCTGACAGAATCCTCATCATTGAACATATGGAACTGAAATTGATGGTTATTTAAGGTAAATCCATCATCGGCTTGATTCTGCTGTGAAAGAGTATTACAGTCCCACTTGATCTTCTCCATGCTGCCCAATGATCCTGGGACAGCCTCTTGGAACCCCTTAAGTGCTCCCAATGTCTTGATACCTTCACATCTGGTAATTTGAGGAGAAAGACTGGGAGTGTCAGGTGGAGACACCTCTGAGAGAGAAGAGTGGCGGAACTTGTCGGGAGTGAAGTTGGAGATATCCAGGAGATCAGTGGACTCCTTTAGTGGTGCTATCTCATCAATGCTCTGCTGGATCACCAGCTTGGGGCTGCAATGGGCCAGGAAGTCATCAGTGATATCATCATCCCCTTCCTTTTCACAGGACTTCAAGCTTAAGGAGCAATAATTGCTTGAGCTGATAGAGAGTGGGGCCATTGAATCAAAGCTAAAGAGCCGACCATCATCAGTATTGAGTGGGCTCTGCTGGAAAGGAAAGCAGATCTCTCCATTATTAAAGTGACATAATTGATAAGTGTCATCAGATGGGATTTGGGTGTCTTGCACTGAGGCATACAGGACCTTGTTGCAACTATTTCCACCACTACTGAGGCAGATTGGATTGTATGTTGTAGCTGTGAGGTTATTTTCCATGGGGACTACTTGGGAGGCCCCAAATTCACTGGATTGGGTTGGAGCTATATCTCTTGAGACTTCTGGTAAGAATTCCTGTGGACCAGAAGCACTTTTGTTGGGCCACTCATTTCCATAGCTGCTTGACTCCATTTTGAAGTTCTGAGATGACTGCTGCATCTCAGAGTCAGAGGATGAGGAAAGCACACAGTCCTGGGCAGGCTGGAGAGGTACAAATGACTTTTCTGTTTGAGTTGGGCTGCCTTTATTCTGCTCTGGAGAATGGTGAGTAAAGTATGTGATATTAGTGTTATTTGACAAGTCAGAAGCATCTAACAATGTCTGCAGATAACCTCCAGGGATAACAGGTATATTGGTGGCAACATTAGCTGATGACAGAGGCATTTCAGAAGAGCAAGTGGTTGGCAGGAAAGTAGAATTCTTAGCAACCTTTGCCTCATGAAATTCAGGTATGTGGGAACTGTTTGAGGTTCCAGAAATAACTTCATTCTTTAAATTAGCCTCAGAGGGTTGTTCTTCCAAGAGAGGGCTTGTTTGGACTACTGGCTTGCTTTCTTGCCCAGCTTTAATTTTCTTGGATTTTAATCTAGCTTCACTTTTAAATTTGATTTTGTTGAGCACTTTCCTCTCTGGCCCCCTCAACTCTGTGTCTTGGGCTTTGACTTTCACTGAGTCAGGGCCTGTGATTTCATTTAAATGTGGTCCATTTGCACAGCTGGGAGCAGCCAGAGGGGCTGACTTTAGTGTAAATTTTAGGCCTCCCTCTTCTTTACGATTGCTAGTTTGCCTCTGATCATTGCAGAATGAAACCTGCTTATTACTTGCTGAAGATTCCATGGATGAGATCCTTTGAATTCTATGCCTGTTGCCAAGTTTAGATTTTCGTTTGCGAGCAGGTGGCAGGAATGACACCTCACAGCTACCTGGTTCAAAGCTTTGCTTTTGGCATAAGGGTATCTTGATGGAGTCTATGTTGTTTCTCTGCTTCTTCTTCTTCTGCCAGAATCCTTTTAAGGGTGCCAGCTTGGCATATTTGTTGAGCTTATTCTCACTCAAATTCACTGTTGTCTCACTGGCATCCACCTTGCCCAACTTCACCAGCATGTTCTTCTCACCTTTAAAGCGATTGATGATAATGTATTTGATAATAACAGGGGGCTCCTTACGCGTTACTTTTCTTCTCTTTTTGGGACACCATTCATCATCATCTTCCTCTTTGGAACCACCTGGCAGCCATTCTTTCCTCTCATTTACCTTTTCACCTTCTAATGAGTCAACATCATATAGATAATCTTCACTGTATCTGACTTTTCTCTTGGCTCGTAATCCATAGTTCTGCTGGGAGGAGGAGTTGCTAGAATTAGTGTCCCGAGCCATATAGCGGCTACAGTCCTTGATCTCTCCCATGGCATCATATGAGACCTCAATGAAGGAACTGTCATCACTGAAGTTCCCTGATGTCTCCAAGGAATCAGCAATATGGCCCTGCTTTGGATTCTTAAATTGCCCTACCTCACTCCCACTGCATGGTTTATTTAAGGCAGATTTTTCTCCATTATCCTTTCCATCTTTTTTCTCTATACCTTTGTCTTCCTGCCCTTCCTCTTTGCCTTTCTTCTTGTCCAGGTTTTTCTCTTCCTCCCCCCAGATGATGCTCACGTCAGGGATTTTGAATTGTGAAAGATCGCTGCTCTGCTTCAAAGCCCCATTCTTAGACTCCCGCTTGGGGCAGGTAGTAAAGACACTGGGGAAAAAGTTGAATTGGGCATCCTCCTGCATCAGAAGGGTGGTCTTGTCTCGAACATTGTCCTGAAAAGACTCATATCGAATTTTCAGAGAGCAGACATCACTGCCCAGTGTGGACTCATCATCATCAAACATGTAATTATCCACATCTTCTTCAGAGAATAGATTGACAGAAAGCTCATTCTTGGAACAGAGGTCAAGCAGTTCAATCTTACTCTCACTAATGAAAGTCTCAAAGTAACCCCAATCCTGATTGGAATTTGCAAGCAAAGCTTCTTCTGTATTACACTTATCCAACAGTAATGCCTCATAATAACTTTTCTGAGCTGGATCTTCCAGGTCGATGTCAGGTTTCTCAGCTTCTCGTCTATCTCCTGCCCTTGATTTATGCAGGGGGAAGCCCAGGAGCTGGTCTGAGAGGAGCTGCTCTCCATATTTCATGTTTTCTCCAGCATTAATACATTGAATCCCTATATCAGAAACTGCACATGTTTCATAATCCCTATTTAGATCACTGACTTTCAGGCTGATTCCTGGCTCAGGATCTACTGCATCCTTGGATTCCATGAAGCAGCCCAAGCAAGTCCGGCTTGGCTGCATTAGGCAGTCCCCATTCAGAGCTGACATGCCTGCAGGCTCCATTATGGCAAATGGAGCTTTCTCACACTCGTTGGGTAGGGACCATGTGTTCAGGCCCTTTGCAACACCAGATGTTAGGGAAATGGCATTCACAGAAGCACTATTAGCAGCGTGCTCAGGTGTTTCAATGAGGCCCAAAGGAGAGGGAGGGCTCTGCATACAGGGCTTCTTGGAGGGCAGAGGCAAGAGACCCCTGGGATACATCAGGGTCTCTTTTGGTACCACTGGCATAGGCTGGATTGGTGCAGCAGCTTCTAGAGCTGCAAATGACTTCATTGCCACATCCTGGTCCTCTGAGTCTAGAGAAAAGGGAAAATAATGACAGGAATAAAGTTAAGGGTCTTATGCCAGTCTCATTAACTCCCTTTCCCTTTGATCAGTTTCTAGTACTTTGCTTGTAGTATTTAAGCTAAGCCTCTGCTTTTCTGGCTTTAGACATCAAAACTACAACATTAAATAACAACTTTAATTTTCTATTGAATATTCATGCAAGTGAAAAATAGCAAATCTTTAGGCCCACCTTTTTCCTCAGAGGAAAGACAGAGCCCACTTCAAAAACAAGGAAAGAATTGCATTGCTTGATGAATTTGAGAGTAGAGGCTTTCAGAAGGAAAATTCTCAGATGGGCATTCATGGTTTTGACCTATGAGGCTCTGACCCATCCTTCAAACCCATGTTCTGGAAGCTGCTAGTGAACTGGAAGTTCCAAGCCCCACATCAGAGCGTATTTCTAATTCACTAGGAATTTTGAGGAACTTCAGTCGATACAGATAATTTGGGAAGACAAAGGGGTTGTGTTCAAAGCCTCTTAGAGACTCTCCTATCCTAGTTAGAGATTTGGTGGAATAAAGTTTAGGATTAACATTAATTTCAAAGGCATCTTGGACTCTGTCCCGACTCTGTGGATACTGAATATCCATAATAACAAAGGACTACTAGGAGAGATATTGTATATCATATCTAAATTACTTTACCATTTTCTTTGACCCCATTAATCAGAGTGTTTTCCCCGTTGGTTGAGGCAGCAATAGCCTTATCTTGTTGGTTATCCATGAATGTAACCTCTTATTGTTTCATTCCAAGTCCAAATGCTGTCCAACCTGCAGATTTCAAATATATAATGTCAGTCATTAAGATTATTTTACTCTGTATTTTACATATTATTTTAGTTACAGGAATCTTAAAAGCCTGCTTCTGGTCTGGCTTCATTATTACTGTTGTTTTGTTTCATAGTTTATACTTACCATGCAATTTGGAAGTCAGTTCACAAACTCATATGTCATTCACACATCCTAGGTCCTTTTGTAACCTCTGGGCCCTCACAGTTTTCAAAACAGAAATCTGAAGAAGCAGGTACACTTATGCCTTCCTTCAGATAGCAATGCATTTAACCTAAGCATGTCCACTCATTTAAGGACATAAAGCAGACCAGATTAACTTGAGATAAAGGATGTGTGCATGTGGAGATTAGTTTTATTTCTGCTTACCTAGTTCTACTTCAGACAGTCAGAAGCACTTCAAAAACAAGCCACTTCATACATACACACCCATATACATCGCACTCCGATTGTCACTCTTTTTTTTTTTTTTTTGACAGGCAGAGTGGACAGTGAGATAGAGAGAGACAGAGAGAAAGGTCTTCCTTTTGCTGTTGGTTCACCCTCCAATGGCCGCCGTGGCCGGCATACTGCAGCCGGCGCACTGCACTGATCCGAAGCCAGGACCCAGGTGCTTCTCCTGTTCTCCCATGCGGGTGCAGGGCCCAAGCACTTGGGCCATCCTCCACTGCACTCCCTGGCCATAGCAGAGAGCTGGCCTGGAAGAGGGGCAACCGGGACAGAATCCGGTGCCCCGACCGGGACTAGAACCCCGTGTGCTGGCGCCGCAAGGTGGAGGATTAGCCTATTGAGCCACGGCGCCGGCCTAAGATTGTCACTCTTTAATCTTTGAAATTTGACTGCTAAAGATGAAAGAGGTAGAGAATTCCTAGGTTTCTCAACTTTCAGGAACTTAGGTAGAATTTTGACAAGTACTCCTCCAGGTATGTAGCAAGATTTTAAAATGTGACTACAGGGGCTAGTGTTATGCCACAGAGGGTTAAGCTGCCACCTGCAGTGCCAGCATCCCATGTGGGCACCAGTTTGAGTCACAGATGCTTTGCTTCTGACCCAGCTCCCTGCTAATGCATCTGGGAAACCAGTGAAAGATGATCCAAGCACTTGGGTCCCTGCTACTCCTGAGGGAGTTCTGAGCTCCTGGCCATTGCAGCCATTTAGAGAGTGAACAAGGGGATGGAAGATTTCTCTTTGTCTATCCTTCTCTCTCTCTCTGTAATTCTGCCTTTCAAATAAATAAAAAAATCCTTTTAAAAATGTGACTGCAGGGGCCAGTGCTGTGGTGTAGTGGGTAAAGCTGCCATCTGCACTGCCAGCATCCCAAATGAATGCCTCTTGGAGACTGCTCCACTTACAATCCAGCTCTCTGCTATGGCCTGGGAAAGCAGTAGAAAATGGCCCAAGTACTTGAACCCCTGGGCCCACGTGGGAGACCTGGAAGAAGCTCCTGGCTCCTGGCTTCGTATTGGCCCAGCTCCTACTGTTGCAGCCATTTGGGGAGTGAACCAGCGGATGGAGATCTCTCTCTCTCTGTAACTGCCTCTGCCTCTCTGTAAGTCTGCCTTACAAATAAATAAATAAATAAATATGGCTGCAAAGAAGGTCTAGATTTTCTGAAAAGAGTTCAGCATCATCTGGTATTTTCAGGGCACAGAATGCATTATCTGTAGCTCTCATTTCCTTCCCTCCTACATGCAGAACGACAGATAAGGTTTTCAATATGGAGGAATCTACTATATACCACTATGTATTTTTTTTAAAAAGATGTATTTATTTATTCGAAAGTCAGAGTTACACATAGGAGAGGCAGAGAGAGAGAGAGAGAGAGAGAGAGAGAGAGGTCTTCCATCTGCTGGTTCACTCCCCAATTGTCTGCAATGGCTGGAGCTGGGCCGATCCAAAGCCAGGAGTCAGGAGCTTCTTCCTGGTCTCCCACGTGGGTGCAGGGGCCCAAGGACTTGGGCCATCTTCTACTGCTTTCCCAGGCTATAGCAGAGAGCTGGATCGGGAGTGGGGCAGCTGGGACTTGAACCATTGCCCACATGGGCTGCCGGCACTGCAAGCGGCGGCTTTACTAGCTATGCCACAGCACTGGCCCCCACTATATATCAAACTACAATGTCTATAAATCCCTATTTATTCTAGTCACACCCACTCCCCCTACCCTTCCTCACTCAGTCCCTAAACCTTCTCCGCAGCCAAATATCCATCCCTTTATTAAAAAGAATACAGTGGGACTGGCATTTGGCACAGCAGTTAGGACGCCACTTGGGATGCCCACATCTTATCCAGAGTGCCTGGTTGGAGTTTCATCTCCTCTTCTTCCAATACAGCTTTCTTCCAATGTGCACCCTGGGAGGTAGCAGGTGATGGCTTGAGTACTTTGTTGCAGGCATTTGAGGAGAGAATAAGTGGATAGAAGTTCTCTTTCCAACTGTCTCTCTGTCTTTCAAATAAAATGAAAGTGAAAATAAGTAAATAAATATCTTCAATTTAAAAAATTTATTATTTATTTACTCAAGAGGCATAGTTACAGAGAGAGCGAGAGACAAAGAGAGGTCTTCCATCTGCCAATTCACTCCCCAAATGGCTGCAACAGCCAAGCTGAGCTGATCCAAGGCCAGGAAACAAGAGCTTTTTCTGGGTCTCCCATGTCTGTGCAGGGGCCCATGCACTTGGGCCATCTTCCACTGCTTTTCCAGGCCATAAGCAGAGAGCTCTATTGGAAGAGGAGCAGCCAGGAAAGGAATCAGGGCCCATTAAGGGATGTTGTTGCCACAGGTGGAGGCTTACTTAACCTGCTATACCACAGTGCTGGCCCTAAAATATATTCCATTTAAAAGCATGCACCCCTGACAGTCAAATAGCTATTATGAGAATTTCAATTGTATACTCATTTATCCTAGTATCCTAGTATCCTTATGATGATTTGATGATGATGTGGAAGTGATACATACTCAGTAGAAGCTGTACTTTGAATTTTGGATTTCAATCTTTTTCCAGGCTAGTGATAGGCAGTACAATACTCTCTTGTGCTGGAGTAGTGATAAGGAGCTGCAGCTCACAGTCAATGCTGCAATCATGAAGATAAACAATTGTTACTCTACAATATACTATGTTACCAGTATTTTGTAGATACAGGTATTCAATAAATAACATGAGATAGTCAGTATTTTATTAAAGAACAGACTTCCAGTTAGATGATTTTGCCCAACTGTAAGCCAATATAAGTGTTCTGAGCACATTTAAGGCAGGCTAGGCTAAGCTATGATGTCTGGTAGGTTAGGTATATTAAACACATTTTTGAATAAAGATATTTTGAACTTGTAATAGTTCTATGAGACCTAATCCCATCATAAGTTAAGGAGCATATTAATACACATAAATTATAAAACATGGCTTCAGTACTGAGGAAACAAGAAACAGTAATAGTCCTTCATGATTCAATCTATAAAATATTTTATCTATTGGGATTATTTCCTTATGTAGAAAACAAAAAAAATCTATATTAGCAATCTTTCAACTTTAAAAATGTGAGATGGTTCTGGGTTTCTTTTAAAACTTATATATTAGGATTTCCAAACTTCTCATTTTATATGAGGCCTGACTTGATGAATAGCTAATAAACCATTTGGCCAGGGAAAAGAGAATGAGATGTTTGTTTATATTTGCACAGAAAGAAGGGCTGGAGTTTAATAGGGGGAGAGGAGTGGATGGGAATGTTGAATTTCCTACCTCTTGGAAAGAAGCCTAATTTGTTGCTCTTTTATTTAAAGATTTATGTGTTTATTTGAAAGGCAGACTCAGAGAGAGACAGGGAGAGACACAGAGACAGAGATCTGTCAGCTGTTCATTCCCAAAATGGCCACAAAGACAAGGCTGGGCCAGGCTGAAGCCAGGAGCCAGGAACTCTATCCGGGTTTCTCCATATGGGTGGCAGGGGCCAAAGTACTCAAGCCATCTTCTTCTGCTTTCCCAGACACATTAGCAGGGAGCTGGATCCAAAATGGAGTGGCCAAGAGATGAACCAGCAACCATATGGAATGCTGGAATTGGAAGTGGTGGATAACCCACTGCACTATAGTGCAGTTCCTGTTGCTGCTTCTTTTAAAATTATTTATTTATTATTTTTATTTATTTTAAAGGCAGAGCGAGAGAGAATGAGAGAGAGAGAGAGAGAGAGAGAAAACGAGGGAGAAATCTCAACCTTCCACTTGCTGGCTTACTCCCCAAATGCCTGCAATGGCTCGAGCTGAGCATGGAATGCCATCCAGGTCTCCCAGGTGCATGGCAGGGATCCAAGTATTTGGGCCATCACCAGCTGCCTCCCAGAGTGCTCATTAGCAGGAAGCCAAACCAGAAGTGGAGCTCTGGCAGAAACCTAGGTACTCCAACTAGGATGAAGGCATTCCAAGCAGAGTCTTAACCATTACTGTGCTAAATGCCTGTCCCAGGAGGCCTCATTTGTGATGGAATTGGATGATCAGATTTCACAGCTGCCTCTGCTTCAGAGTGCACTCAGTGGGTCAGATGGAATCATACTGCCGTAATGGATTTCTTTGTCATCATTCTTTTTTCTAAAATTTATTTATTTTATTAGAGGGCAAGGAGGAAGGGAGGATGAGAGAGGGAGGGAAGGAGGAAGGGAGAGAGACCTCCCATCTACTGGTTCACTACTCAAATGCCCAGGAGCTGGGAACTCAAGGTAGGTCTACCATGTGAGTGGCAGGAATCCAACCACTTGAGCCATCACCTGCTGCCTCCAAGGGTGTGCATTAGTAAGAAGTTTAAATCAGGAAGAGAGTTGGGGACTTGAACCCTGGCAGTCCAATATGCGATGGAGGTGTCCCAAGGGGTGTCTTAACCACTGCACCAAATGCCTGCGCCTGCGTTTAATAGAACTTCAGATATAATTTACCCCTATTTAACCTCTCCACTAATTCCATCTTGGCAGAGACTTGATAAGGAGCAAATTATTTTTAGATTTCAATAATTTAGTGTCTTCTTTTCCCTTATGGCTATAGGTGATTACAAATAAGCCTATTTTAGTCATCAGGAAAACCAAGGCACAGAAAGAGACATTGTGATAGCTAGGGTCAGAAAACTGCATAATCAGAAATATATGAAAGAAACTCAAGTCATCTGACAAAGAGAACAGGTGTTCTTTTCCTAAAACGCAAAATACCTTCTTCACAACTGGTACCACTTCTAGCCCCTGGCTGAAACAGGTTCCAGTTAATACTGATCTGCACTTCCACTGCCTTTTAGGTAATGAAATAAAGAACAACTGCTTCAGATAAGTATTGACTATTAGTAAAAATTAACATAGCACAAAATATATACAGGAACAGTACACTAAAGTATCAACAATTGCTCAATCTTGTCAGCCAAGAACAGAACACTATGTTAGGGGACATACTAGTGCTGCTGTAACTTTACTCTGGGATGTTAATTCCCCAAGGACATGAATTTTGTCTGGTAGAAAAATCTGACCAAGCTCTGACCAAGCACCCAGGATTCATGGTTCTGAAGTAATGGGAATCTTTTTTCTTTTCTTTTTTTTTTTGATTTTTTAACTTTTATTTAATGAATATAAATTTCCAAAGTACAGAATATGGATTACAATGGGGAATCTTTTTTCAAGACTTGTTTTTATTTAACTGAAAGGCAGAGTTACAGAAAGAGAAGGAGAGGGAGAGAGAAAGAAAGAGACAGAGAGAGAGAGAGAGAGAGAGAGATTCTTTTTAAAAAAGATTTATTTATTTATTTATTTATTTGAAAGGCAGAGTTACAGAGAGGCAGAGAGGGAGGTCTTCTATCTGCTGGTTCACTCCACCCAGATGGCCACAATGGTCTGAGCTGTGCTAATTTGAAGCTAGGAGTCAGGAGCTTCTTCTGGGTCTCCCACGTGGGTGCAGGGCCCAAGGATTTGAGCCATCTCCTACTGCTTTCCCAGGCCACAGCAGAGAGCTGAATTGGAAGTGGAGCAGCTGGGACTCGAACCGGTGCCTATATGGAATGCCGGCACTGCAGGCTGCAGCTTTACCCGGCCCAGAGAAAGAGATCTTCTACCTGCTGATTCACTCCCCAAATGGCTGAAATGCCCAGGGTTGGGCCATGTTGAAGCCAGGAGCATGGAACTCAATCTGGTCTGTTTTGTGTATGACAGGAGCCCAACCACTTGGGCCATCTTCTACTGCTTTCCCAGGCACATCAGCAGGGAGCTGGATTGGAAATGCAACAGCTGGGACTAGAAATGACGCTCATATGGGATGTAGGCATCACAGGCTGCAGCTTAACCTGCTGCACCACAACACTGGCCCTGAGAGGGAATCTTACATGGTTGAGAACAGAGGGGCAATACACTTTGGCAAGAGCTAAAGAGGTGGAGTGGAGAGTGGGAGTTTGATGAGTTAAGAAGTGAAGAGAAAGGGAATGAATGCTTAGTAAGTGCTGTGCTGGATACTGTTAAAAAAAACTTATACTGTTTTAGATATATATTTATCTTGTGAGGTTGTTTCTTTTTTTAAACTTTTATTTAATGAATATAAATTTCAGAAGTACAGCTTATGGATTACAATGGCTTTTTCCCCCCATAACTTCCCTCCCACCTGCGACCCTCCCCTCTCCCACTCCCTCTCCCCTTCCATTGAAATCAAGATTCATTTTCAATTATCTTTATATACAGAAGATCAATTTAGCATATACTAAGTAATGATTTCATCAGTCTGCACCCACACAGACACACAAAGTATAAAGTCCTGTTTGAGTACTAGTTATAACATTAAATTGCAATGTACAGCACATTTAGGACAGGGATCCTACATGAGGAGTAAGTGCGCAGTGACTCCTGTTGTTGACTTAACAAATTGACACTCTTGTTTATGGCGTCAGTAATTTCCCTAGGCTCTTGTCATGAGTTGCCAAGGCTATGGAGGCCTTTTGAGTTCGCCAACTCTGATCTTATTTAGGCAAGGTCATAGTCAATGTGGAAGTTCTTTCCTCCCTTCAGAGAAATCTACCTCCTTTGATGACCTGTTCTTTCCTCTGGGATCTCACTTGCAGAGATCTTTCATATAGGGTTTTTTTTTCCCCACAGTGTCTTGGCTTTCCTTGCCTATAATACTCCTTGTGAGGCTGTTTCTACTCAGTTCCCATTTTTTTTTTTCAAAAGGGAAAATTAAGCATTATGAATAGTAAATGATTGTCAATGTTTTAAGCTGTTGTTCTCCAGAACTAGAAGGCTAAACCTGTTCAGACCATCTTTTAGTCTTTTGCTATAACTAATTTTTTGAGATTTAAAAAGATTTATTAGAATCAAAGACCTCCAGCCAGAGCGGCATGGAGGGGAGTTTCCAAGAGAGGAAAACCCCCAAAGAGACCTATAGTGCTGGAGTTTTAAAATACAATTTCGAAGGAAAAAAACTCGACAATCAGATCGGCATTGCTATGATTTTTCACATTTCAGTTTTAAACTACAAAACTGAAGGTATATATTCTTTCACATTTTATTTATTTATACCAAAACTGCTTATAAAATGATTTTGGATAGATATTATAAGTTCTTAACAGCTATAATACAAACAGCTCTGGGCTTGCTTTAGCTTCTTCTCACTGATTGGCATTTAGGACAGTGTGTTCGGTGAAATTTAAAGAATCTAGCTTGAGTTAAAATTGATTAGCACATTTGGAAGAATATATATCAAATTGCTTTGCCGATCATAGTAAATTATACAGTGTAATGGCATTAAAATAACATTAGCATGGAGACAAGTATTTTGAAGCAAGGAAATACTCAATTAAACAGGAAAGGCAACCCCTCCTACCTGCCCATCCCCTCAGTTAGCCTAAGACAGGTTCATAGATCCTGTCCCAGTAGGCTGCTATGGTCTTCCTCAGAGGCCTTGACGCCTCAGGTCTTAGTCTAGATGACCCATACCAGCATTTCTGCTGAGGGCTGTCCCTGGATTTTTCCAGCTGGAAAAAAGCAAAGCAAGAAGTAAATCATGTTTTTGCTTATGGGCTTGGGATAACATAACTTTTGGGGTTTGAGTAGTATCAGTCTCTGGGATA